GGTTTAAAACAAAATACACAAAACTTCCTATACAAACTAGTCTGAACATTTAAAAAGGGGCTAAAAATCACATGTTCCTCAGAACTACTGTCCTATACGTTTCCCTGAAGCTCTGCTTGAGATTGAAATAAATGAAAATGGGATAGAGACAAGAAGAGCCTCACAAGAGACCACAATAGTAAAAATGGCATTTTATAAAAAGTTTTAATTTCATTAAGCAAAAAAACAAAAAACCCAGTAAAGACAAATTTAAAAAAAAAATAAAATCGACCAGACTCCTGTCCCCAAAAACTGACAAAAATAAATGTTTGGTGAACACAGGGAACAGAGCAGAGCTTTCAAATCAACTGTGAAGTACGTCTACTTCAAAATACAAGACACAAGATCCATGGAGAGGAGACTTCTGCTCGGCCGGAGGACTCATCTGGACTGCTCGACTAAAGAGGGACAGAGGAGGAGGGATATGTATTGAGCATGTGAAAGATCAGTGCGATGAGCAACAGCTGAGCATACCAACTTTTCACCAACGGGTTAAACATGTATGGGCAATTTCCATTTGATGAGAGCCCCACAGTTAAATGGCAGCACCAACTGCTGCCTGTAGCTGCCAACATGTCTCTAAAGTTGATTACACCAGCTGATTATCTGTGGGGCGCTCTTCATCTGGTAAGACCCGACTGGATTAAAAACAACCCAGCAAATCACAGACCATCAACAATTAGCAGTCATAATATGTTGTTTTATTAGTGAAGTGCTTTGAGCCCCGTTAATCAACAAATTACAGCAATTTCAACACATCGGGCCAACTTTATGAAGGACATCAAGCATCCGTGCATTTCTGCAGCCATTTGGAAATGAAAGACTTACTGTAAGAGGAGATGTCAATCTCGTCTGGCAGCTCGGCCACGTTGACCTCAAAGCGGTCCTGCACATCGTTCAGAGTCTTGGCATCGGTCTCGTCGGACACAAAAGTTATAGCCAGGCCTTTGGTCCCAAACCTACCAGCACGGGCAACCTAACGGGTTCAGAAAGGGCAGAGTGAGTTAAATCCTCAAAAAAACACATGTACCAATAATATCATGCTTTAACAACAATGAGAAACTAACAATCAATTCATGCAGAAATTATGACACACTCTTCGGTATTCCCAGAATGTCGCAATGGCCCTACAAATAACAGAAATGTGCAGTTATTCCCCCTCTGAAGTTCTCACCCTGTGTAAATAGGTGTCAGAATCTTCTGGCATGTCGTAGTTGAAGACGATATTGACCCGCTCGATGTCCATCCCTCGGCCAAACAGATTAGTTGCCACCAGGATCCGCCTTTGGAAGTCCTTGAATTGCTGATAGCGAGACAGCCTGTGGAGGAGGAAGGGGCAGGAGGGAGCACACAGAGAGAATTAACACAGCTGCTGTAGACATTACTGGACTGTATCCCCCCCTTTGAAGGTAATGATGTGTTGAGTTAACTGATGAGGCCTCATGCTCCATAAACATACTCCGCATTCGGAGCTCAATAGAGCATATGTTTATGAGAGTAGGTATGTAAGAGGATGATGTGTGCCTGTGAGTCTCACCTCTCCTCCTGGGCCATTCCCCTGTGGATGGAAATGGCAGGGAAATTTTGTTCCACCAGAAGCTGGGACAGAGCGATGCAGCGCTGGACTGACTTGACAAAGATCACCACCTAGAGGCAAAGCAAAGGCATTGAAATGCAGAACTGAACAACCGAAGGCACTAGCTGGACTTCCTTCAGATCCTGAATTAGGGATTTTAACTCATTAACTGAACAGCTTTAAAAAAAGGAACAGTCCGACATTGTGGGAAATACACTTCCTTGCCAAGAATTAGTACTTGTAAAAGGTGTGAAAACTAGGGCTGCACAATTAAGCTAAATATTATCGAAATCACAATATGGCAGTTTAAAGTGCAATATGTAATTCACAGAAGCTGCAATATTTTGATACAAGTAAAGTGTGACAAAACAGCATCATAATGAAGCCCTGTAGTGCTGAACAGATGCTCTGGTCTACAAATCTTTTTCTGCAGATGTAAAAAAGCATTTGTTTGGTACAGACCAACATGTCACATCTTCATGGTGAAGTTGTGATGAAAAAAATAGAAGCATTCTTACACCAATCATGAATCATGTTGTAATGGCAATATATGTATGAAAAAAGTAGTAAAATAATGAATCCTTTTATGGAGGCGCACGTGTCAGACCTGTAACTTTCTGGAGTCTCCGCTGCCTGAAAACTGCTCAGAACCAATAAATACTCTGGCACATAACTCCCTAAAACCAGGCGTCATTTTTATACTTTTGCTTTGTGTTTTTACAGATTAAACATTACACTAAATTATTGAGCTTCATAGGCGCTGGTAGACAGTTTCTTTTAACCTTCAGATAGAGCTGTTTCCCTTCATTATGCTAAGCCATGCTAACTGGCTGCTAGCTCCAGGTTGATATTTACCTGCTTGACCTCCTCACCTAACTATTAAAAAGAACTATAGTTACATTTTCCAAGTCCCCAAACTCAACTCCTGAAAAGCAATTTCCAGCTCTGTAATGCCAATTTAAGCAACACAATTACTATTCTTTTGTTTGTTGGACAAATCTTAAACTAGCAAAAACACAATATCCCAACTGGTACTGGGACAGACATCCACTATGCAACAGCTCCATCACTTTACCTGGTTGAACTCCAACACGTCAAGCAGGTCAAAGAGCTTGCGGTTCTTCTCGCTGTCCTTCAGCTTGGAGTAGTACTGTTGCAGGCCATGGAGTGTGAGCTTGGTCTCGTCGTCCACAAATACTTCCATGGGCTGCAGGGGAGATGAGGGTCAGCTAGGTTAACTTTCTAGTTATGCACACGGTTAACTTATTGATAAAACTGTATTCAGGGTAATTCTGAAGCAGCTACATCTCCTCGATCACTTACATCTTGCATGAATTTGCGGCAGACTGGTCGGATGTCCTTACTCAGCGTTGCACTGAACATCATGACCTGCTTCTCGTGGGGTGTGATCCTGAATATTTCCTGTACGTCGCGCCTCATGTCTGTTACACAAAAAGGCATTCACATGAATAATAGATATGATTATGATCCAATATTGCGCTGGAGGGTGGACGCCCTCACAGAATACACTGAGGTAGAAGAAATGTGAGAAAATATTCGACCAAAGAACACACCTAGCTGCTCCAACATTTTGTCACACTCATCCAGGACAAAATGCTTAACGTTCTTCAAACTCAGGGACTTGTTCCGTATGAGAGCGAGAATGCGGCCCGGCGTTCCAACAACGATGTGAGGACAGTTCTTCTTCAAGACATCCTCGTCCTTCTTGATGGCCAGGCCACCGAAGAACACTGCTGCCTTTACCGTGGGCATGTACTTGGAGAAACGCTCGTACTCTTTACTGATCTGGAAGGCCAGCTCTCGGGTGTGGCACATGACTAATACAGACACCTGAGGAGTAGACATACAGAGACAAAGTCAGACACTGTGGCTTCTATAAGCTTCAAGTTTTATATGTGGATGTAAACATTTAGTCATGGAGGAAAATAATTACAATCAAAGTATAAATAGACTATGCACAAATAGTAACACCATCAAAAAATAGGGTAGTAATGTGTAATTTACAGTAATTCTCATTTGTGCAGCCTTCATTGTGAGATATCTGCACATACCCAATACACTAATTATGTTAATTATGTGGCGTACGCCAAACATAACTTTTGGTGATTTCCATCAACAACTTCCATCAGCTGAGGTTGGAACGAAGTCATAAAATCTAAATATACCTTGTGTGTTCAACATCAAACATCAGGTTGAGACTAAATTTGAGGGCGTAAACAAAGGAGTGTTCCTGATCATAAGCCAACAGATGACATTTACTTGATTTAATACAGTGTGTGTTGAACGTATGTACCAACCTGTCCATCAACCGGTTCGATCTGCTGCAGTGTGGCCAGCACAAACACGGCTGTCTTGCCCATACCAGATTTTGCTTGGCACAGGATGTCCATGCCCAGGATAGCTTGTGGGATGCATTCATGCTGGACTGCAGAAAAAAAACACAAAAACGATTTCAGACTAGTGCATTTATGATGATGACCTACAGTGGCTTTATTTACAGTAACCAGCGATT